GAGTTCATAATTCTAGTTCAGGGAACAAGGTGTAAATACAGAAAACAAATGGAAAAATAATAAAGGTTAAAATCGGAGTCTAATAGGAACCAGGGAACTTCTATTTGTCAGGGATGTTATTTCCAGATGGTGCCACGAGATTGTTCTCCAGCCTTGGTCCAGTTTTCCTGTTGGTTTTAGATTGCCATTCTATTCCGTGTCTGAAGGATCCAACCGAGTGAAGAGGCGCTTTTCTTTCTTTCTTTCTTTCTTTCTTTCTTTCTTTCTTTCTTTCTTTCTTTCTTTCTTTCTTTCTTTCTTTCTTTTTTTTTTTTAAAGATTTTATTTATTTATTTGAGAGAGAGAATGAGAGAGAGAGAAAGGTCAGAGGGAGAAGCAGACTCCCCGCTGAGCAGGGAGCCCGATGTGGGACTCGATCCCGGGACTCCAGGATCATGACCTGAGCTGAAGGCAGTCGCTTAACCAACTGAGCCACCCAGGTGCCCGAGGGGGTGCTTTTCTTGCTTGAGTTCTCATTATCATTGCCTTTGTTTCCAACTGCAGTTAATCTATTTATTTCTTCTTTTGTTATTTAATGGAACTCTGTGACAGAGGGACTCCCTTTGCATCAAAGACCTGCCACAGAAGAAAGTTAGCTGTGTGGTACCTGAGCACTGGTCTTTGCCAAACATGGGGTCTCCAACCTCTCTTCATATTATTATATACTACAAGGCTGAGTCATCCCTGATTTGAATGTAGATTTTGAATTGTAGTTGTCTTCCACTATAAAAATCCAGCTTAAGAATTGGCTTACGTGCTCTAGTTCAGCAAAGGGTAAACACCCTATTAATGTGCCAACATCTTGTTTTTCTTGTCACAGACAGGTAGCAAATCTCCTCCAGACTGGGGGCTAGGGTCCAGGTAAGATGGGGAAGAAAATCTTTTTTTCGGATGTGCACATGTGAGCCACTGATGGACCCCTCTGTCCCACGGCTCCAGGTCAACTCTTGTACTCTGGGGGAACTGAGTGGTCAGGAGGGATCTGGGGCCATCGACGGTTCCTTCATTTGGGCTTAGAACCTCCTTGCCATGGGCTAGAGAGGCTGAGCTGCCCCCAGGCTCCTGTGAGTCCCAAGCCCCTCTTTTGTGAACTTTGCCAACATGATGTCCCAAAATTGGAAACGCAGATGGTAGAGTGATATGATGTGAAAAGTTGGGAATGAATGGTGGGCCAGGACACTGGGACCTCATTGCTGGGGGCTTCCAGAGGGTGAGACTTTCTCAGAGGAAGTAGTCTCCTGGGAGCTGAGTGAGGAACAGGCGTTTAGCGCCATCCTGACTAAAATCCTGAGGTTCATGTCTGCATTCCTAGGACGAGCCAGCCCTTCTGCAGATGGGCCACATGGTGCTTCCGGTCACCAGGGGGACAGGCAGCAAATGCTTGGAGGGGATCGGGGTTACTGCAGACTGCTTCTTGAGATAAGGGCAGCATGGAAGTCACCCCCACTGGCACCTGTGGGACCCTATTTTGATGTCTGCTGTAGGAGCAGTGCTTTAGTTATTTGTTTTCACAGAAAAACATTTTCTCTTAGTCTTCTGCCTCAAGGAGTTATGAGCATGTAATACCTAGTAATTGAATACTCTCCATGAATGCAAACAAAAGCTCCAATCCCGAGAAAGGGGTAGATCCTGGGTTACACTCCCCAGTACCAAATATTCCTTTAATGATTGTTATTACAGTAACATTAAACAGATGCAGACATTTTTTAAAAAATGTGGGCTGGTCTCTTGGCTTTTCATTTGATTTAAAAAGATTGATTTACTGCTGGGAAAAGCCCTTTTCAGAGGAAAGCTTTGTGCAAGTTTCATTAATTCCCTTGTTCTATGGCCACAAGCAAGATGGGACCACCAGTATTACCAGCCCATCCTATGTGATTGGATGTGTTTCAGCCCAAAAGCACATTTGTCACAGGGCTGTCAGAACCTTACTGTACTAGAGTTAAGTGAGCTTTGTATTAAGAGGCTTTGAAAGACCACATCTTCAGCCCTGCCATCCCCAACCCCCCCCCCCCCGGGAAAAGACCCAAAACCTAGGCTAAAACTAAAACCAGGAACCATACCAATTCCAGAGTAATTCTTGGGGCACCTGGGTGGCTCAGTTGGTTAAGCGTCTGCCTTTGGCTCAGGTCATGATCCTGGGATCCGGAAATCGAGCCCCAAGTCAGGGTCCCTGCTCAGCAGGGAGTCTGCTTCTCCCTCTCCCTCTGTCCCCCTCCCCCACTCATGTTCTCTCTCTCTCTCTCTCTCAAATTAAATAAATAAACTCTTAAAAAAATAGAATTCTTCCTAAGCTAGTGGTTCTTAAACTCATGTGCACAAAAGAATCCCTTGGTAATTGGTTTAGCCTGTAGAGTTTGGGGATCCTACCTCAGAGGTTCTGGATCTCAGGGACTCTGGACACTGTTTAGCCAGTGGTTTTCAAACCTGGTTTCATGTTGGAATCTTTAAACAAATGGATGCTTAGCTCCTACCTAATTAAATTAGAGTATCTGAGGGGTCAGGCCCAGTGTCCGAAGGTTTTACAAGCTCCATGGGTCATTTTAATATGAAGCCGGAGTCGTCAGGCCCTGGTGGAAGCTCTGAAGCCTTGGGTGAGAAGGCTGAGGGCCCTTAGAAGTTCGTATTGGATGAGGCAGCAAGTGTGACATGCTTATCTTCAGACAGACAGATGTTCTGCTCTAACACATCCAGCTGACTATCCCAGAAACTCATGGCTTACTGTGAATATGCATTAGAAGGTTTGAGAAACCCCAGGATTCACTTGCTAAAATTTGTGTGGATGCACATATGTCCATTTTTCCAGGGGGAGGGTCCTCAGCTTTCACTAGAGGCACTTTATTTTTTCCCCTAGCCCTTGTTTTATTCATTTATTCATTCATACCCCCCTGTCCTGCTCTCATTCTTCTCCCTCACACAGGTAACCATTCTTATGGTTAAAGTATGTGATAATCTATCCTTATGTTTGGCTATTTTTGTTTGTTTTGTGTGCATCTCTTTATAATTTCCATGAATTGTGTTCTTAGTGCTGTCCGTGCTGGTGTGTGTACATTCATCCATTGCTCCTGACTTCATGGTTAGCTTCCCCAAGATTTTACCTCTCTGCTTCCTTGGTGATGGACACCCAGGCTTCCAGCTCTCCTCAGCCACAAACTGAGCTGCGGCAAACATCCTCTCATACTTCCCCTTCAGAGCCCACTCGAGAGCTTCCTGGGAGACAGACCCAGAAGCGGAACCACTGGGCCGCGGGGTCCACATGTACTTCTTCCAACTAAGGGGGGCAGCATGGCGCCCGAATGACTGCTCCCGGCTACACCCCTCCCACCATCGCAGGATTCCTAAAGTGATCTGAGACCCCCACTCACATGCCACCACAGCGAGAAAGCCAGTCAAGCTGGGCCCTCAGTGCTGCTTGCCTTTCCTTTTCTTTTTCCAGCTCTGCCTTCTTTCCTGTTCCCTGTGACATCTGTATGAAACCTCTGCCACCACGTCTGCTACCTCCCGACTCTTACTCCACTTCAACTTCCACGGACAAAATAGAGGCCATCTTACCTTCCTCCCTTCACTGCCAAGGGCATCGGAGGCAGTGTCTTGCCTCATTTTTCTCTCCAGGATCACCTCACCGGGATCTTTGATGCCCTCCCTCCCCAGACCTTCTCCCTGAGGCCTTGCTGCATCAGTTCTTCCCGTGGTCTGTCTGTCTGTCTGCCTCTCTCTCCAGGGGTTTGCTTCCATGGCCTGCAATGTTGGCTACTTCTCTCCCGTTCTGAAACAAACCTCCCTTCTCCTTAGGCCTCCGTTTTCCCTCCTTCGAATGTTTGTCATCTATCACAGACTTTTCGAATACATGTTCACACATGCTCCCTTTGCTCAGCTCCTTCTTATGTGCTCCCTCACTCCCAGCCCTCCGCCCCGTGGTCTGTAGTCGCCCGCTCGCTCGGTGTGCTTGGTCCAGTCTCCCCTGCTTCTTTCTTTCTAGTGTCAGACACCACTCACAACATGCTTCTTGGAGCCGCCTCCCCTCTTGGTTTTCAAGATAATATGTTCTCCTGGGTCTCCCCTGCTTCTCTCTCTGCTTTTTCTCAGCCTCCCTCACAGCCTCCTCTCTGCCCTCCCTGCCCTTCAGAGCTTTCCCCCTGGTTCTACCCTCTAGACCCTTGTGTCTCCACCTGTTTTCCTGAGCTCAGCCACTCCTTAAGCTTCCTTGAAGCGTTTATAAGCATATGACTCTCAAACCTGGATCTCATTTTAATTCAACGAATTGGTTTTGAAAATTTCCAAATGTTTGTTTGTGTGTGTGCTAAGATCCAGAGTCACGTGTGACTCAGTATAAGAGTTCACAGACTAGAACTCTCTCTTCTGAACTCTAGACTCATGCACCTGGCAGTCTTTCTGTTTGCCACAGTTTGCGGCTATGCATCTAAACCGCAGATGAGCTGAAACGAAGTTTTTTTCCTAAAGGGTTCAGAGACCAGGTTGACAATATGTCAGCAGACGCTGCTGCCCGCTCTGCTTCCGGCTGGAGAACACACCAGAGGCCTCTGGGTCACAAGCTGAGTGCACGTATACTCTCTTTGAGTGGGAAGCGTGGGCTGCAGCAGCTAGAGTTCTAAGATGACAATTTGATCTACAGACTTTTTTCCCTGGCCCCTGGAACAGTGTGATATGGATAGAGTCACAGGCAGACGGGAATTAGTGTAACAGGTGAGAACTGGGGACAAAGTTGGTGCTGTCAGTGACAGACCCCGCCCTGACACTGCGGACCCCAGCAGGGCTGGGATGAGGAGGTTCCCACGTAGGAAAGTCCCACCGGGCTGGACATAATTCATTGTGAAACTAAATACACATCGGGCCTTTCTTTTAGAAGTTAGGTCAAACAGATTAGGGACAACGGAGTAGCGAGTTTCCTTGAGACTGGCCCGGCTAAGCGTCGGGGAACCAGTGGCCCTGTGAACCAGCCTTACCTCTGCTTCAAAATCTGTTTGTTGTCTTCGATGGTGATGCTGTCAGCGTGGTCTCTCTTGAAGATTTCAAAAGCCTCTTGTCGTCCTAATGACATTTCTTCTCTCATCCCTGTTTGGAGACATGGGGAAATGGCCTCAGTCACAGCATCAGGATCCCATTAATTTCACTGTCACTTTAGGCAGACCACAAAGCCAGCCCTGGTTCCAAGAGGCTCACAGCCGAGAGGCTCCTGACCAGACAAGGTGGCCCCGGGCTCTTCCAGCTGGCCACCGACCCAGCGAGGAGGCCCTTCCAGCGACACCCTGCACCCTGCAGGGCTGGGGCTGCGCAGGCATGTGACTTGTGGGGGTTGGGGGTGGAGTTTGGAATGTCTAGTCGGAGCAAATGAGAACCAGAGCTCCAGGCCCCGGATTGCCGAGGACATCTGCAAATGCACTTTCTGCCATCATTCAGTGCTACAGTTCTCCCCGTTTTCCTGTTATGCCCCGTTTTGGTTTTCTGTTAAATTTCATGCTGGATTTCCAGGCATTTAGTTAAAAGAGGTACAATCCAGGCTGAAAGATACAGAACCTAGAAAATTCTACTCTTAGTCTCCATATAACGACTCATCCTTGTTTCCTGTGTCTAGGGAGGGGCCTCGGTGCTTACTCCGAGGTTAGGTTCTCCATCGAAAGATCCACGAGCAGGTTGTGATGGCAGCTCCTAGTTCACGTCTAAATCCAACATCCTGGGTCATTATCATCACTATGTGCCAAGCCCCACTGCTGGGCCCTGCTCGGGGGCCAAATTCTGGAACCCAGAGTCAGAACGGCCAGGGACAGCAGAGTGAGCAGGTGGTATTTCTGTACCGCAGCCCTCTTCCTCCCTGCCTCCCAGAGCGAGGCTCAATGCAAGTGTGTGCCTGGGACTCCCTAGGCAACAGCTGAATTCACAACTGGATTTTGGGTGAATCTACGGAGTTGTTTTTTTATGCCTCTTTTAAAAGCATTGGTTCCTTTTCCCCATGTTTTCATCCAATTAATTCTACTTATCTTTGAAGCCCTGGCTGAGTGTCACCAACCCTGAGAAGCGTTCCCTGAGGCCCAGGCAGCACGAATCCTCCCTCCGCAGTCAATGATCCTCTATCAATGCATCTGTAACACGCACAGCCCAGTAGACATTGTCACTTCACATGACAATCCTTTCTGGTGACAGGCATGTTTCTAGGAGGTAGAGATTACATTTTTGTGAATCCCTAGTGTCTTGTTCAATGTCTGGCATTTAGAAGGTGCTCAACAGATGTGTGTTAAATCAATCAGGTCAGGAACGAACCAGGAGTGACAATGAGCCTTGCTCTAACTGCCACACGAACATGATCCAGGGCGAGAGGGGTTCGCCTGTGAGGCCCCAGGTTCCGGAGATGTATTCATATGGGCCACATACCACATCTCCTCTTGCCTGGAAAAAACCCGCTGAGTCTCATCACCAGGCCTCGGGGTGAGGAACTGGACCAGCCCATCTGACACCAATTTAATGATTACCGTTGATAAAAATAGCACCATGAAAAATGTCTGAATGGTGAGGCACACAAGACGCCCCACCCTTTTCCAATCAGAAGCAAATGGGCATGTCTCGGTTTTGTCTCCACATCTGCCCTGCACACTCCAGAACCGGGTCGGCCTGGGAATGGGTTTGTGCGAGACTCAGAAAGATGAGTTCTGCTGCATGAGACACATTAACCGGGGGACACTTTTCATCCAGCAGAGCCCACCAGGAGCCAAGGGACTCACGCCATACCTTACCCCCCACCCCTGGTCTGTGCCCAATTCTGACAATGTGTGCTTTTCACTGCCAATGAAACAGCAACAGAGGGTAGAGGGAGTGAATCTCTCTGGAACAGAGTGGGGGATGAGGAGAGCTCCACGGAGACCACCTGGGAACCTGCCTGGGGGATCCCCCAAATTGCCTCCCACAGAGGAGGTGATGAGAAGGCAGGGGCAGGGATGGGGGGCTGGGAGAGGGCTGTTCGAAAAGTTGCAGTGAAGGAGTTGGGTTCACCGCCTTTTCTCTCCCAGGCTCTGCTTTCTTTTAGAGCCGACAGTCCGAATTGACAGCTGGGTAGAACAGCCGTGCTGAGGCTTCTCAGCGCCCGCGGCACTGTTACAGCAGTGGGTCCTGGAAGAACTTAGAATCTACTGAAAACCCCGCTGCATCTTCCCTGAGGTGCGGAGGGGCCTGGGTAGTGGGAACAGAAAGGACATGGGGTGCACAGAGGAGATAAGCCCAGGAAGATAGTTTGCTATCACTTTCCAGAGGATCTTGACATGTGGGGCCAGCACTGTATCACAAGTATATAGGAGTCACCAATTTTCCAAGACTTAAAATTCAGTGAAGTGCATGTTATGAGACAGAAAGTTACACTGGGAAGCACTTAATACTTTCGGTGCTTTAAGACACGCTTGGGGTCTTGCAGTGCTGTGGGCGTATCATTGGGAACACGGGGTCAGCTTTCCTCCAGGGACGATGGAGAAAGCATTCTGGAATTGGAGTTCTCTGATGGTGGGGAGCTCAGGTGAGTGGACATTAATATGTGAGGGTTATAATTCTGGCAGCTAGTGTCCCCCATGTCTGCTCAGGGAGGCCAAGGTGCGGTGGCTGATGATGCCCATCGTCTGAAGGCAGAGAGGCAAAATAGGGCCTGGAAGCCTACTGAAGAGTTGTCTTCACCTCTCAGGATTTAGAAAACAGCTTTCTCATACGGCAAGCTCTGGCCCCCATTAGAAGGAGTTAGAGCCGTTGAAGCACAAGAGAGACTGAAAGCTAATGAGATAATCATCTATTTATTTATTCTCTCCACCAATATTTATTTCTCTTAGGCACTGTAGTTGGCATGTGACCGAGCTATAAACTTGAACAAGAAGATTAAAGCTTTGATCCTTGCCCTTAAAGAATTGAAAGTCCAGTGAAGGAGAAAAAACGTGAACAGTAACAATGAAAGCTGCTATTTGCCGTAAGGCAGGCATGTGTCCAGTGCCGGGAAACAGGGAGGAGGAGGGTCAGCTCTGTCGGGGAGACTGGGAAGGATTCTGAGGGACGAGCAGCATTTGCTACGTGGAGCAGAAGTGGAAGAAGATCCCAGAAGGAAGGGACAGAGGAGGAGAGTGGATCAAAAGGGCAACTTGATTCATATGCGAGGTTCTGCCACTCAATAGGAATGGCCTTTGGGGAGAATAAAATGAATTTCTTATATACTTTACACTAATCACTGTATCAAGTGCTTCCTTACCTATTATGTCAGGTAAACTTCTCCATGATCCCTGGTCAAATAGCATTTTACAGAGGAAGAAACTGAGGCTCAGTTAAAGAAATGTTATAAAGGGGTAAAAATGGTCTGGCTTTTTAGAGGAAGTCAGTACTGCTCTTAGATCCATTTTGCTAGGAAAAGCATAATGACTCTCATCACTGTCTATCTTGTCCCAAACCTTGCATTTTCTTTACGGTACCACAGAAAAAAAGAATCACGAATTTTGTTTTACTATTTCTATTATTATTTCTAGAATGTGTGCACTCCATGGGGCAGGGATTTTTGTGAGTTTTGTTTGCTGCAGTAATTCTAGCACCTGGATGGTACCTGGCACATAGGAGGAACTCAAATTCTTTTGAATGAATAAATGAATGTCCTACATGCTTACTGTTCTTCCTTCTGGCATAGCATATTGTGACATGATGGGGTAAGTGCATTGATGGCTCTTCCTCCACCACTGCACTCCTCGGTGGGTGCATCCCCTGTATAGTGTGATTTTAGAAATTCACACACACACACACACACACACACACACACACACACAAGAAATTCAACACCATCTTCTCCTACTACATATCACTATGCTTCATAGACCACCCTTAGAGATTCCAACTCCAAGAAGCTTTTATAAAAATGCAAATACTCTTGAAGGCATCACTGTCTTGGAGCCAGCAAAGACAAACTCCATGATCTGTTAACCATTAGCTAACAGATCCTGCAAAGACGAGACATAAGATGGTGTCTCAGGCTGGTGCCAAAATGGGGGAAAATCTGAGCTTAAAAGGGAAGGTGTGATGGCAAAGACAAATTGTGCCTTTTCTCCAACTTTGTTTAGTCTGTCAGACTCCACTGCTCAACAAAGCAGAGGACCTTAGGAGTTCCCACTTGCTGTGACTGTTTCTAGCTCGTGGTTGTTTCCTTTTAGTGAATTTCAATCATAGGTCACAGTGTCAAATCCCAGAAAACATGGATGACTCAGAGCAGCCTGCTAGCTTGCTGAGGCACAGGACTGTTTAAGACCCGGAGGAGAGCACATAAAATATTACAGGCCAGTATAAAATTTCAAACAAAACAAAGCAAAAACCAAAAGATGAACAAACAAAAAACCCTAAAGAAGAAGAGGAGTTTTTCAGTCTCAGCCCCCAAAATAGGACATTGCAATTCCAGGTTGTGAGCTAGATGGAAAACACTTCCAAATCCTAAAGTTACGGCCTCTTCTGGATTTTGATACTTATTATGAACGGCACTTAGGTAGAAATGGCAGACAACAAGGCACTTGCAAAATCAGCCTTGGAGTGAGGCTTCTGTAAATGTTAGGCATACAAAATTCTTTGGTGCTGGTCCCTCACCCGTTTCTATAATGTTCTCTTTTTTTTGGCCATCCTGAAATTTGGCTCCTTAAATTGCTGAAGAATACGCATTGGTACTTTTGGAAGCCCTCCCCGCCCCCAACACAGGGTCCCATGGAAACCAAGTGGAAAGGAAAAACATCAGAAGTGGAGAGTTTATGCTCTGCCTTTGGGCCTGCTGTCTGATTGCCTTTAGTCTGGAGCACAAGGGCCAGAGCTCATTTTCCTGGCTGCCCCAAACAACCTACTGCTGCTTAAGCTTTTGCTTAAAAATTGACAAAGGTAAAATGATGGAGAGTTGTGTTATTCATGCTGAAAAATGGATTTCCTGGTCAGAGCCAAAAATCTATTTTCCTTGGGAAAGGCATCTATTTATGTGGTGCCTCAGTTCCCTCTGACTGAAGAAGGAAGGGGAGAAAAGAAGAGCCACAGAGAATGAGGAAAAGTGAGCGATGGCGTGGGATTCTGACAGGA